GTTTATATCCTGGGTCAAAAAGCCCCCAAAGATGGTTTGCAATGTTTAAAATATAAATGCAAAAATGATAGAACACATTATTAGAGATACATCACAGATCGTTAACCTGAACAAGACATTAAGAGCAGTAGAAATAAAATATACATAACTTTTATTTACTTGTGATACTTAATTTATTCTCATGCAGGTTACTTCTTTGGGATTGTGATGATAGGAGCTACAGCTATTACATTGAAGTTTCCACAAACCAGCAGCAGTGGACCATGGTGGCTGACAGAACAAAGGTTTCTTGCAAGTGAGTTTAAAGTACTCCAAATGTCATTAATGTAGCTCACACTTTTAATATGTATGTATTTATGTATTTATTCAATTTATAAGCCGCCCACTCTACCCAAAGGTCTCTGGGCGGCTCACATGAGAGATAGGAGCTTGTAAACAACTGGCAATCAGTAACAAAATGTTTGGAAGGGCAACTAGCACATGTGTTTATGCACATATCTCTGTGTATGTCTGTGTAAAATAAATATAAATGAAATCTTAAACAATTATAGAAGCTAGGTAAGGATTTGCTGGTGACAGAAATAGGGAGCTATACACCACTTTCCAAGTTTATTTGCTGTAATGGGAAGTGCTGCGGGGAACAAAAGATTAGAAAGAAGCACAAAGAGGACCATCTTCTAATCATTGTCTTGTCATGAGAACAACATGAACAGGTTAAGATTTGGGAGACAGAAAACAGGAAGTCCTTTCCTACAGCAGAACACAAATGGATCCCATTACACCAGGTATCACAAATTGCCCCAAACCTGCTGATTCTGCAGTGCTCACTGATAAATTGAAGATGAGCCAATGATGATGCTGTCTCACAGTTGCCTCACTTTACTGGTAATACCTGATAAAATCCAAAAGCCATTTTTTGGGCCCAATTCAAGATTGATTTTTATTTCTGTTGGATAAAGAAACATTCTTAGGATGGAATAATAAGTAAAAGTTTGTTCAGGTGAATCTCTTGAAAAAATGAATAAAACAGGAATGATCTCAAATGTTTTGTACTGCTTCTGTTGATATTTAGTACATGGTTGGATAATAGCATTCTCCTTCCACACTTTTCATTGCACCTAATCCTGCACTGAAGAACTACCCCCTTGTTTTGTGGTATTAATTTAATGCATGAAGAGTGAATTTCAAAGTTCCAGCTAGTTAGTTCACAGCAGGAAGAGTAAGACAAACTGAAGGTAGTACACACAAACTTCAACCAACATCTTTGATCAGTCAGAGTGGCAACGAATATAATGAGAAACAAAAGAAAAGAAAATGGAATTCAGTTTACATGTCAGAGACTGTATTTGATAGTCTAGCCAAGTGTGAAAACATCTTTTCAAGTCTGAATATGCTGCCTTTGGTTGGTTTAACAGTATTTTAATGTTGTATTTTGTGTAAATTAATAATTTAGTACTCAAAGCCTGAAGTGACAGGCTCTTCCTAAACTCCTCTTTTTAGTCAGTCTCAAAAGGCTGATGATAAAAATGATGGTGTGTTTATTATCTTCACAGTGGAAGGCTTTCTGCCCTCCTTAAATGGAAGCCAATTAATGCACAGGGATTATGTAATTGTCATTTTAAATGCTGCATGTAGCTAGGAAAAAAAGATTTTCTTTCTGGCTAAACTTTGTTTTTCTTTAACAGTGTGACAGTAATGAAATCGATTCATGTTCTGTTCTTTCTAAAGGGCAAATATTTCTGAGAAGTTTGCTTTGGTTTTTTAGGCTTGAACAATAACATTGCATACATGTTTAAAGATTTTGTGGAGAAGAATCTAGAACTTGAATTAAGGACTAAAGTAATTGAATTTCAGTTGGGTTCAATTTGTTGTTCAACAATTTATTCTTTTGGCAAATATTCTGCTAAAAGATTTGAGCAGACAAGCTGCAGAATTAAGGCTAATTAAATTGTGTTCTTGGAAGTTTATTTATGAAATACAGTCCATTAAAAGCCAAATTATGTTAGTTGTACCTTGAACTGTTCAGCTGACAATTCAGACTAAGTTTAATAGAATTTGGTTGCAGATTATGAGCAAAGTTTATTGATAAGTTACTAAAAATAAATGCAGAAGTCCTTAGTAAGTCTTTTCAGTGTCTCTTTCTTGTAACAGAAAGTGGCAAAACACCTAAATAGAACCATGTAAACAAAAAACCCCAACACCCAGTAATAATCAGCAAAATGAAGAAAAATGTGTATACAAAAAGAAAACAAAATCAGCTGACCCCAGTTACAAGAAAGAATCAGGGTTTTAACCAATGTTGAAGACACTGATGTTGTGACCCGGCCATCATTCTGCATGTGAAAGGGGGTTGTTTCTCCAATGTATGAGCATGTAGTGAAACACAATGTGCTTTCTTTTTAAATATAATTTCCAATGAATCATTTTCTTCTTCTTCATGGTCTCTGTGAATGCACACAAATGGGTTATACTGTGTCTATGCAAAGGTTCTCAAGAACTTCTAGAGCTTCTGCGCATGTTCACTGGGACCTTCCTCCCATTGCGCATGTTCCGCCTGTGGCAAAGATTGCCTCAGGCCCCAGGGAAAATAGCCAGACTGTCACTAGCCCAATAAGCAAACAGTGACTGCTTGGAAGAAGGAAGAGCCTCGTGCCCAGGACTGCCACACTCAGACAGAGGAAACACCTGGGAATGTGATCAGGGAAACCCTAGCAATAGAGGAGAAACCCCTAGAGGAGGAAGAAGGGGAACTAAGTACCTGAAGCATTAAGGATTTTATGGAAACACTAGTGGTGGTAGACGGAAGTTTGGAGGGAGAAGAGAAGAGTAGAGAAGAGGGAGGCTGAGACCTCAGAGCAGGGGAGTCAGGCAGAGCATGAGGAAGACCCAGGACTGGTACCCTCAGAGAAAGAAGGAGAGGGTGCTTGGGGCAATGTCCAGGAAGATCTTGAGTAGGTGTACCAAGCTGAAACAACCTGGATGATGAGCCAGAACCCCCAGGAGATTGGTATTACATAATAAAAGAGGATTCCTGAAAGGGAGTCCTGGTGCAGATGAGGATGCTGACAGGGGAGCAGAAAAACACCAAAACCCTATGCCTCCCTCACACCCATATTACTGGGGTGAGAGAAGCCAGAGACAGAGCTCTTGATGTCACCAAGGTATCAGGCTTAGGGAACCAACACGAACCCAACTCCAACAGAGAAGGAGAAAACACCAGAAAGAGCATCTTTGTCATCTTGTAAGCCGCCTAGAGTGGTCACAATTGACCAGATAGGCGGGGTATGTATGTATGTATAAATCAATCAATCAGTCTTCAAGCAGGACAGTTGCAGGTATTGACCTCAGCCCAAGGAGCAACCTGGTCCCTAGTGAATTATGTGCCTTGCCCACATGATGGGCATACTAGCCCTCACTTTTGAGGACCTCAAGGTTTGGACCTGCATGGTGTTCCACTTTGAACTAAATTACAGACTCTAACCCCTTAGTACTGTTGGGCTAGGGTGGGGAGAAAGGCAAGACTGAGCCAGGATTAGTGTTGTTAACTAGCCCTGTAGGAGGCTAGCCAAATGAAATCCTTTCTGTTTTAACACTCTTCCCAGTTGAAATAGAACCTCATGTTGGAACCACCTGTGGTCAAGTCCATGGATCTGGGAATGAAGTTGGGACCCCCGCTGACTAGTCCAGAGCCAGTGGGGTCCACACTTCATATTCTTTGTTTTTATGGGAACTTTAGATTCAATAATAACCAGCCAATATGGCTGAAAGCTGGCTGAGCTGATGCTGAGCTGCCTGTGCTGTGCTGAATCCTAACCCCTCAAAGCCAAGGAGGATGGGAAACTGCTTAGGGTTACCCTTGCCCAGGCCTAACTTTGCGCTGGCACAATGACTGTAACATCTGATATGAGAGGGGATTGGATCCGGCATAATGCCAGTGTTTCTATCCATCCCCCTCTCCACTCCTTCTGTCTACCCCCTTATCGGCCTCTCCCCCCCCCCCGNCTGATCTCAGTGAGCACAACAATTGTTCCAACAGATCCAGTTGTGCCAACAGATCTGAGATCAGCCACCATAAGGCAGCTGTGCTGGCATATGGGGCAGTTGCACAAAAAGCATCTGCCCATTCTGTACCTGCTGTATGCAGTACAGTGGTGCCTTGACTTACGAACATCCCTACTTATGACTATTTTGAGTTACGACCAGCTCCGGCCGCAAAATTTTGCTTTGACTTGCGGCCGGAGCTTTGACTTCTGAACAGAAAAAGGCAGGGGGGGGAAAGGAGGGAAATTAAAATTGTTGGTGGCAAAGAGGCTACTTCTTTGTAGCTCTTTCTCCCAAATGGTTAGGGAAAGGGATGCGGTGGCAGCCCAGCCCCGGGAGGCTGAGCCTGGCCGGGGTGCTCTGGCCGCTCGCCTCCCGGTGGCAGTGGTGGCCCAGCACCGGGAGGCTGAGCCTGGCTGGGGTGCTCCTCGCCGCCTTCCAGGCGATTGCGGAGGGCAACGAGGAGCGCCGACCCCGGCCTCATTGGAGCCCGTCGGGAGGCAAGCGGTTAGAGGGAGCACCCTGGCCTGGCTCAGCCTCCTGGCCCTGGGTCGCCGGTGGTGCTGGTTCTGGAGCTGGAAATTTTTGTTTTGTTTTTGTTTTGTGTGTGGGACTTGCTCTATTTGTTTTTTTGACGGGGTGTTTTTGGCCATAAGGGATTAATCACGTTCCCATGCATTTCTGTGGGAATGCATGCTTCGACTTATGACTATTTTGACTTTTCCATCTTCTGGAACGGATTATGTTTGTAAGTCGCGGCACTACTTTATATCCTTGAGTTCAGATTGCACTGTTCACAGTGTTTTCTTAGGATTCATACTTGCAAAACCAATACTGAAATCAAAATAGACATATTTAGTTGGTTTATGTGTGTGAGAGAAATCTTACTGTCTTTTCCAACATGGCCACTGGTTGTGCAAGTGGGATAGATGGGAACTGTATTCAAATATATCATAAGAATACCAGGTTGGAGAAGCTATGAGTTGAATTTCTATTTTGTCAATTTAACAATTAGTTTTGTCTGTTTGCTTTACTTTATGTGCATGTATTCTATAACCTTTGAAATGTTGTTGTT